ATAATAAAATTTGGATAATTATATCTGTATTATGATAACTGTATTTTATCAATCAGTTGAACAAAAAAAAAATCTGTAATCTTAAAGGCATTATCTTAAATAAGAGCTCAGGATATCTATACAAAATATAATATTACACTTATATAAAGAAATGTTAAATAACTGATGTTGCATAAGACTTTAATACAAACTCATAATAAAACTACTAAGTATATAATACTAAGAAACCAGAGCACAGAAACTTATTTGAAAATCTCAAGTAAAGAGGTAGCATAAACTTTCAACAATATTACTAAACCAAAAAAAGGCTCAAAAAAGAATAACTAAAATGAAATAAATAACAAAATATGTAAAAAAAAGCATATGCATTAATCAGGTTGCCAAAATTGTTAAAAAAAAAAGATCTACAGATACCATATTAGACCATCTGAATTGGTAGTTTGAAAAGTCTTGTAAGTTCAAAGTATAAGGTCAAATGATAGATAAGGGATGTATTGGAGTTCTAGTAAACTTTACAAAAGTATAGTAGTTTAATAATTAGCTCTAACTGCAAATGATAGTCTAGATCAGAGTAGTACTAGGTCAGCTATAAATATGAGATACAGAAGGCTTCAGTAGGCTTAGTATAAAGTTAAAAATAGCTTAGTTATTATAGTATATTTGTATATTAATATTGCAATTGATAGAGTAGAAGTGAATATGAAACTAGAATGTTTAAATAAAGAACTTATAAACAGGTTTTAGATATGGCAACTAGTATAGAACCTTCAGACAAACTACTTAAAATAGACAATAACTAAAGTTGTATGAGTGGCTAGTTGTATACTCTTTCTATGATTGCCTCTGTAACTGTTGTATAAAATAGTTATATGCTAACATATTATCAATAAACTTCTAAGTTATAATTACTCATCTTAATATTAAAAATATATATATATATATATATATTTATAGAAGGTATAATAACTTAATAAAGTAAATAAGTTGTCAACTTCTTAAGTGATAGATTAGATGTTCAAATCCTATTAACAATAAAATTTAAATAATTACCTATGTAATATTTGTATTATAGTAACTGTTTCTAATAATTGGATTATAATATCTGTAATAACAATCATATCAGTATAATTGACAAGTTATAAGGCATTTGTGTAAGTATGATATGATACAAAAGAATGCAAACTGGCATCAAGCAATACAAACTCTAGATAAGTTCTTGTAATTATATAAATTTATTAAAATTGAAAAACAAAAAGTCTTTTTAAAAAAATCTGAGTAAAAAGTTACTACAGATCTTTGACAGTACTACTATAAAGTCTAGAATTAGAAAACAGATACCAAGATTATAGTATCTGAACAGACAAGAATCTTTGAGTTAGGAGTTTTAAAAATACTACTAATCAAACTATTAGAATAAATCAGAAGAAAAAAAGATTAAATTAATCTAATATACTAATAAACTAGTTATAGTTCTATACAGATTATTTGAATAGAGAGTTTGGTAAAAAGACAGAGTATACTAAAGTACTATAAATATGCTGTAAAGTAGATACTAGAGTTTAAATAAACTCTAAAAACATAACAGTTAAAATATAACTCTGATTGCAAGTATTAGTTTTATTATAATAATATTAGCTTAGCTGTAAAAATAGATATAGAAGGCTTTAGAAAGTTTATCTTAAAGATAAAATAGTTCTAAGGTTGAAATTATGACCTGAGCTTGGTCTAGTAATAGTAATACAAATGCAGATTTAGAGTGTTTAAAATAAAATACTCAAGCAGAGGCATTAGATATAACAATTAGTAAAAAATTTTTAGGTAAACTTCTTAAATAGGTAATATAGAAAAATATACATGTAGTCAATTGTATACTCTTTCTATAATAGTTTATAGAATCATATTACCAAAAAAATTATTAATAAAAGGTAAAAAATCAAAAAGATCATCTTAATATCAAAATTATATATATATTTTTTTATAAAGATGTAACAACTTAGTAAAGTTTTATAAGTTGTTAATTTCTAAGTAGTGTTACAAAGTATATTTTAGCATAGTATATTATATAGTAGTATTAGTAGTTATATTTATATATTTAGTATTGTATTTTATATCTTATATTTATTATTAGTTATTAGTCATTAATTAGTTAATAGTTATATTATATAGTAGATAGATAAAAGGATCTTAATTGGCTATTAGAAATATAATACAGCCACATAACACTAAGTAACATCTGTAATGTTACTATCATCTTACAAACCCCAAGTACCTCTGTACAAGTTTTATATATTTTAGCACCAAATTATTGTGCCAAGTGTTGCAGTACAAGAATCTCAAGTATCCCTGACATGAATCCCAAGTGTTCTTGCATAAACTCCAAGTATCTCTGCACAAATCCCAAGTGTCTTTGCACAGATTCAAGTGCCTAAACACAAGCTCCAAGTGTTTTAAGCATGAATGACAAATAATATAAACAATATCCCAAGTTGTCTTTGCATAATTCCTACTATCCCAAGCACAGTATTATTTAATGTTGTTTGAACCTCTATTGTCTCAGTACAATGATATCTAATATTGTTCAAACCCTCATTACTCTGATTACAGTATCAAGTAATGTTGCTCAAATTTCCACTAACCTTACTAGGTAAAATATATATATAAAAGGTACCTTTTACCCTTCTATGCCAATTCTAAGTTTCTATACTTTAACTTAAACCCTTCTATCTTTCCTCCTAATTAATGTTGTTAGTTGAAATTATTTTAAGTTATGTAGAAATATTTCAACTTTCAACATTTAGCATGTCAAAATTCTAAATTAATATCAAAATTCTAAAATAGTATCGAAATTCTAAATAGTGTAAAATGTCTAAATAGTGTCAAAATGTCTAAATAGTATCAAAATGTCTAAATAATATCAAAATGTCTAAATAGTGATGAAATGTCTAAATAATGTCGAAATGTCTAAATAATGTTGAAATGTCTAAATAGTATTGAAATGTCTAAATAGTGTTGAAATGTTTAAATAGTATTAAATATCTAATAGTGTCGAAATATCTAAATAGCATTAAAATATCTAAATTGTATTAATTTAAAAAAAATTATATATAAAAATTGCCAAGCAAGGTAATTCAAGTGATCTCAGTTATATGAACAAACTGATTTACTTTAACCAATCAATTTTTTTTCACATAAGCATGAGAAGAACAGAAGGAAACATTAATGTTTTACAACTGATCTTTCATCTGGTACATGAAAGTAAATTGTGCATAATGCATTATATAATAATCCTAGACACTACATACATGAGAGATAAACCACATAATACATAAATCGAAACTCAATCAGAATAAACTTTGAAACCTCGCCATAGCCCAACTAAGAATAAAGAGAAATATGTAGTTTATTAGTATTGCATTAGAGCATTCAGAATATGAATATATAATCTAATAAGATACTTAGCCTTCAAATGTATCATAACAAGACCCAACAGTCTTGATGCTCAGACCAAGTCTTTCTATACCTTCTTCAAGTTATCTGTTTTAAAGTTTAAGAGTCCCGAATAGAGTTTTAGGTAAGACTAAATTGTGTTAATAAAATTGGTGACTATCTAAAATCTTATTGCTATTGCATTTAATAGCCAATTAGATTTTAAAAAATTACCAGTTTTATTAGCAACTCTGGTCTGGATAGTAATTGGCTGTTTAGCTTTAGCCATCATTTTGTTAGTTACCATTATTTCAATAGATGTGAATAATCAAATTGGTATAGATTTTTGGATCCTCTTCTCATGCTAAATTGAGTATAAATGGTTTAAATTTGCAACAGTTTGCTAACTGGGTTTTGGCGTAAGAAACTGTATGCAATCTCACAAACCTTCTGTGCCTATGTGAATTATGAAAAATATACACATTTAATATGCATGCATATATGTATATGTATAGCTTATACCATTCTAATAAATATATCAGTTTATTTTATGAAATGTGTTTCTATGTACTATTGGGGCTGCTGATATACTAATTAATCAAATCTATATCAGGTATAATAGTAAAAATAAATAGTGAAGATTTTATGTAGTATGAACAAATACCTCATTATTCAGCCAATAGAATTTCAAGATCTTTTAGCATGTCACATGACTAATCAGATAGGTTAAGATAAAAGTTGCTTTGACATGTAAAAATGCCTAATTAATTAAAAATTTTGCTCTGTAACTTACTTTTGTTATACTATTCGAACCGATTATTATAAAAATTGTCGAAAAAAATAGCATGTACATGAGATGAATCAATTTTTTTGAATACTTACTAGTCTTTAAGTAATTTCTGCTAATGTAATAAGTAAAAATGCCTAATTAATCAAAACTTTTGCTCTGTAACTTACTTTTGTTATACTATTCGAACCGATTATTATAAAAATTGTCAAAAAAAATAGCATGTACATAAGATGAATCAATTTTTTTGAATACTTACTAGTCTTTAAGTAATTCCTGCTAATGTAATAACAAAATACCCAATTAATAAAAAATATTACTCTGTAACTTTTTTTTATTATACTATATGAATCATTTGCTATAAAAATTTCTTAAAAAAAATAGCTTGTATATGAGGTAAATTGATTTTTAGATACTAGTATTTCGTTAGTAAAAGTTTGCTAATCAATTTATACACAAAATCTATCAGTATTATTATTATTGCATCTCATATGATTTTTATTAATTAGTATATCAAAAGCCCTAATGTACTGTACTAAATGTGCTATTCTATACATTTATGATATCACATATGTAATGCTTTTTTTACAGAGTGATTGATTATTAATTAATTCTAAATTAATAAAAAGATAATAATTCAAACTAAATATTAAAATTTTTTTTTAAAAAAAATCTCATTTTGTTTTGACAATAAAATATTATTTGCTAACAATAATCCAAAAAAAATTACTGAGTACTATATATTAACTCTTTAACCTCTGCACTGAATTGATTTTTATCGAATTCTTCACTATTGAATTCTTCATCATCTATATTTTTATCTATATTTTTATCCATATTCTTATTCATATTCTCATCATTAACATCTTGTTCTACATTATTTAATTCTATAAAATTTTCAAGTTTTAAGTCTTGATGTTCAATTTCGGGATCAATAAGATTTGCAAAATCTGTTAAATCATCAGAATTATCAGAATTATCAGAATTCTCTTTGTTATTAACCTCAGAAAAGAAAGTAATATCTTGAAAGACAGTTTGTATTTCTTCTTCTGTCAAATCAAATCCATAATAATGTAACTCTTGTTTAGCATTTGACATTAAATAAGAACTTATTTTTACCATTGACTCAAGATTTTTTGTTCCTAAATTATTATGTTGATCTTCCAAAAACTATCCACAACATGACTATACACACTCACAACTCGCAGCATAAGGATATACTAAAAATAATTTAATTGCTAAAGAGAAAAGAGCACTAGGTTTTGTTTTAGTACCATCACCAGTAGTCTTCTACCATCGAATTGGACTATCAATAGTTGATATATAAGACCTATTATAAGGCTTCTCATTACAAGCATACTGATGTAATTGTGCTTTCAAGATTTCCAAATCACTTTTTTTTGCATTAGATTTTGCTATTCAAGTCCATAAACAGCCTGCAATTCTAGCTATATGAGCAAATTGTGATTGCTTAATTCCAGCACCTACAATTTTAAATAAAAATTTTTATTAAAATTAAATTAAATAAATAAATTAAAATTAAATAAATAAATAAATTAAATGAGTGGACTTTCTAAAAAACTCACACCTGCAGATCTCAAAACATAAAAATCGGCAGAGGCAAAAAACAAAAAAAACAAAAAATAGTGAATATAATAGAAGAAAACCTAAATAAAAAAGCCCACTCTGGGCAGAAAAACTACCCAT